ACTTCAGTGCACCAATAGCTACAGTATGGGTATGAAAAATAGCGTATTCTCAAATTCTGCTCTCTGCTTGATATGACTAATAGTTAAATAAAGACCAGAAACTCAAGGTGCTGAACTGGCAGGAGCTTGGGTGAGACAAGGCTGGAGAAGGAAGTGTGAACTGGAAAGAGGAAACAAAGAGTTGGGCGAGCAAGATGAGAATTACTGGGATCAGCACTCTGAGGAGCAGGGACTGGGACTGGCTGGGTGGCTGAAGACAATCAGGTTGTGGCAAGGAGTTAGTGCAAGGGCAGGTCAATTTTGGGCAGAAGTACTGGTCCACCAGGGCATAGCCTTCTTAGTCTGAGATTGGACCAGGCATTTTACAGTTGCTGCATTCAGCAGCTGACATCAGATATTTAAAGTCTGTCCCAGAAATTCCCGATCTTCTGTATTTGCAGAGGGTAACCCATTTTTTAATCACTTAAATCATGCAGCAGGTTGAGATCTCTGGATATTTGGTGGTTCCAGCCATGTTGGTGCTTTGTGTTCATGTCTGACATTATCACCTATTGGAACTTGTCTTTGTGGCTTTTTTTAAATATTAACAAACAAAAATAACTCGAAAATAATGCATTTTAACTTTATTATCTAGGTGGAATATCAAATATGGAAAAATAAGTTATGCCGGCCTAGACTTACTTATTCCTATAGAATATTAGTTTTTACTTTTTTAACCACTAGGATAATGTGTCATGCAACATACAAATTTGATAGCATTCATTTAAATGTCACTTTTTCTTTGAGTATGTGGTCCTGCACAACATTTGTTGTTCATGTTCATTACTCACACCCTGATTAACTTCTAAATTCAATGTTTTATTATTCTGCAGCAATAAGTACAAGTGCTTTGCAGTTATTGTCACTGCATCTAGATGAGTTGGCATTTGCTCCATTTTTAAAGTAAGATGCAATGAGTACAAGGTAAATGATTCACAGTAATTCTGTGTGTTCCTTGGGATGGCGGGTCTAATATTTTCAGAAATATTGAAAGTACCTTTTTGAGATATGAAGTGCAACTCCTGTTGGCATCAGTTGTTCACTGCACTGTATGTGTTCAGAACAATTCAAAGTCCAACAGCCTACATCTGGACATCCAGACTATGAAGATCTTGTTTCTTTCCATGCTGAGGCTAGTTCTAGCATTACAGAAGATCTCAGTGAATGAGTATAGGAGAGATGTGGATATCCAGGCTAGTATTTGCCACCTTCAACTATGAAGTTACTCTTCCTGTGATCTCTGGTTTACTTCTCCTTGAGTCTTCCAGCTTGTGGAAGAGATCAGGCCATGAACTTCTATTGAAGTCCAGACTGTATAATTGAGGTTTTCCGAGAGCAGAATTTGAATGCTACTTGGCATGGTGGAGTTCAATTTGTGTGTTGCAATACAACTATAATATTTTTTTTTACTAGGTAGTGAAACTTTTCTTATATAGAGGTGATGTTGAATGTCCTCTGAGTCATTGTTTGTTTTTTGTGTTCCCCCCCCCCCCCCCCTCGTTCTCTTTTTCAAAACCCATGAAATTTTTTGGAAAAATTAGCAAATTGGCCGTATACACAGTACTAGATTGTGCCCTGCGTGCTATTGGGGAGACCCTTGTAGCATTGTCCGTTTTTCTTTTTTTTTTTTCTCTTTTTCCTTTTTTTTCTTTTTTTCCTTTTTTTTCTTTCTCTTTTTCCCGATTTCTTTTTTGTGTTTTTCTTCCCCCCCCCCCCCCCACCTGCTGCTACTTTTGCAAACCATAGCAATATTTGGCAGAAGTATAGCAATTGTTAATTCAAAAGGAGAATAGACTTCTGATGGAGGGCTTCTTGCTGTACTTGCTGTGTGTATTTAAGCATATAACTTATTTCTAGAAGTAAGACTTTTGATTTAGTAAGCTTGTTTAGCTCAGCATACATTTCCTGTTATTCTTATTAGCCAGTGTTAGAATGTCACAATAGCTGTCTGAAGAGATCTAAGAAACTTTTTTCCCTGGTCTTCTCTAAAACACTCAGTAAAAAGGCTTTCTTTCATCAAATATTTATCATTGCATATCTTATTTCTAAATATAGACTGATCTTCTGAATTTGTCCGCTCTTTCCTGCTTTTTGGAAATCTGCTGCTGTTCAGTGGCTGCCTCATGAGTCTGATATGCCATTATTTGAATAACTAAACTTGTCCTTCACTGGCACAGTTGGGCTGAGTTAACTGGGTAGTAGTGCACTCTTCAAACAGAAGCTTAGTGTTGAAATGTGCTTTTTAAGTAACTAACTTAAAATACTAAGTACTATTTGAGTTTTAATAATGTAGGCATGGTGTTTCACTGTATGGCTGATGGTTAGCTATCACTAGTTTGATATGTGTCTACACTTGAACACTTTTCTGTGTGGAAGAGGCAATGATATGAAAGCATTTGTGGAGGGGGTACCATACTGAAAGCATGAGCAAAGAACAGAGCATTTTATGCTCTGTTAATTCACACTAACATGTAAAGGCTAGAGTAAGTGTACTGTGTCTGGTTAGGATGGAGTTAATATTTTTCATAGCAACCCTTATGGTGCTATGTTTTAGATTTGTAACCAAAACAGTGCTGGTAAGGCACGATGTTTCAGCTGTTACTGAAAGGTGCTTGTACAACATGGAGTCCTTCTCTGTTTTGCACTCTGCTTCCCTCCCCCCTGCTGGGAGTAGGTTGGGAGGGGACACAGCCAGGACAGCTGACCACAACTGACCAAAGAGATATTCCATGCCATATAGTGTCATGTTCGGCAATAACATTGGTGGTGGTGTTCCAAAGTAATCATTGCTCAGAGGCTGGCTGGGTGTCTGTTTGCTGGTGGGAGGTGGACAGTAAGTTAAAAGTTTCCAGCTGTATACAGCTTTCTACCATCCTGTATATTGAATTATGAAATTGTCTTTTTGTATTAATTTGTTTTAAGAAGTTCATCTTTTTTGATCTTGTACTAACAAGTCTAGTAAACTAATGCCTAATTCAGATATCAGATTTCATTCTTCCCTTAGTTTTATGATCTTTTTAGTCAGTGTTTCAAATAATTTATAGCTGAATTTTACAACAAATATTCTTTCCCCATCCACTTTCCCTTATTTTTGTTGTTCATCTGCACAATATTTTGTGCCAGTCCTTTAATGAAATGACATGTTACAAGAAGTTAGTCTATCAGTTTATACAAGACCTGATGAGATTTTAGTTGGAACAGTGCATTCAAGTCTAGGATGGTAACTAAAAATATGGCAAACTTGTGGGGGAGACTGTCACCAGGATGGCTTTATTGAAATCACTAATTATGGTATAAGTCAAATGCAGGAAAGCTGATTTTTAAATTGCATGTAATGTTTTGTATTCATTTAGAGAAAGGTTGTTTCTTGTTTAGTCGCTGTTAAAATACTGCTTTGCAGCTAAATGTGTGCTTTAGCCAAAAGTGGTAGCATTTTATGTGAACAGAAGGGTAGTTTTTATGTACATGTATGCACATGAATTTGATTAAAATATGCAACATATAATTTTTGAAGCAATGCTTTTCTTGTCTTAAACTTTTTAATAGTCAAAAGTATTTTTAATTGCCTCATTTTAATACATTTGTGACTATAGCTAGTGAAAGAACACTTGTTCTCATTTGCTGTATCCTTCAGGATTTTAGAGTTGATAGACATTCTTCCCTATTTTTTCTCTAGCTATAAACAAGTTGACTGCAGCCATTAAGAAAATACTATTCCTGCACCTGTAGATTAAGCTACTGCTGTCAAGACTAAGATAATGCTGTAATAGATGCTGATTCTAAGAATCTAGATTTTATTTTTAGTAGCTTAATAGTTTTTGTATTTATTTAAGTGTAGATTAAGTCAATTACTGTATTTTTTAAAGTAGACAAATATTGAGTTTTTAAATTTAATGGCCTTGAGGAAATGTAAATGTATATAAATGTAAATACTTTGTCCCAGTCTTTATCAGCTCTAGTTTGTTTTCTAATGTTGAACTACTGTTAAAATTAAGAAAATGTGTGTGTATATATACATAACAGTTATAAATAAGTGAATAGTATATTTATAGCTATTTTGTATGTTTGATATACATGTGAAATATTGTGCAATTGTTTTGTGTATTTATGTAAATATAAATGTAACTAACCATATCAAATAAGTGGATTTCTTAATTTTCAAGAAAACCCTCCTTTCATCCATTCTTATGTTCTGAAGATGCAAAAACTTTAAATTAAGCCACAGAAACAATGTAGTGGAACCAGGCATCACATGAAATATGTACAATTTTTCTTCATATGAAGTTAGTGTGGTCTATGATAGTGGGCACTTCTGCTCTTCTGCAGAATCAAGCCTGCCTATCTCTAGCACAGAGAAATGTTTCATTCCTGAAGTTGCTTTCTCAAGTGAAACCTTAAGCAGTCTTTTTTGCTGTAGAGTTCATTGGAGGAAAAAATTTCACCTTTTTCTTAATTTTACCACTTCAGGTAGAAGCTGAACCAGAGGTGCTTTTGGCGTTATGGGACACTGTTTCCTCAGCTCTCAGCTTCATTTTTCTGAAATGCTTTTCCTATTCCTGAAGGTGTTGGAGGTACTTCTGCGTAGGGAAAACCAAGAATTTACAGAAAGCTCTTTTCTTCTGTCGTGCTCTTTGGGTGTATAGTTGTGGAGTCCAGTGGTCAACATAGCAGGATACAGTTTTCTTCCCTTCTCTGTTGAGAGCTTTTTCCCTTATAAATCAAATGTATGACAGATGGAGTTTCTTTTAGACTGTGTTAATCTAATTTTGTAAGAAGCTCAGGATGGAATGATGTCATTTCAGGGTCAGAGGAAGAGGTGGATATTTACAGGCTTTTTTAGTGAAAACAAACTTTTTTTAGAGTTTTATATGACATAATGAGTTTTATATGATATAATGATATGTGTTGACTTGTTGCTTGTATACATATACATACATTTACAGAACTGTTTTCTCTTCTAGGATCCTTCTGTTACACAAGTGACAAGAAATGTTCCTCCAGGGCTAGATGAATACAATCCTTTCTCTGATTCAAGAACAGTAAGCACATTTATTTATTAATAATGCTGTTAATCTTTTTAGGTGAGATTTGTGGGATATTGTTTTCAGAGTTTGGGACTGATGTAAAACATACAAATTGGGGGACGAGAGGCTGGAGAGCAGCCCTGCAGAAAGAGATCTGGGGGTTTGGGTTGATGGCAAGTTGAACATAAGTCAACAGTGTGCCCTGGCAGCCAAAAGGGCCAACTGGGTCCTGGGGTGCATCAAGCACAGCGTAGCTAGCCAGTCGAGGGAGGTGATTGTCCCCCTCTACAATGCACTGGTGCGGCCCCACCTCGAGTATTGTGTGCAGTTTTGGGTGCCTCAGTATAAGAAGGACATCAAGCTATTAGAGTGTTTCCAGAGGAGGGCGACCAAGATGGTGAAAGGTCTCAAGGGCAAGACTTATGAGGAGCGGCTGAGGTCACTTGGCTTGTTCAGCTTGGAGAAGAGAAGGCTGAGGGGTGATCTCATCACAGTCTACAACTTCCTCAAGAGGGGCAGTGGAGGGGGAGGTGCTGATCCCCTCTCTCTGGTGACCAGCGATAGGACACGTGGAAATGGAATGAAGCTGCATCAGGGGAAGTTCAGACTGGACATTAGGAAAAGGTTCTTCACTGAGAGGGTGGTCGGTCACTGGAACAGGCTCCCCAGGGAAGTGGTCATGGCTAGTCATATGGTTTAGTGTTAGGTAGTCCTGTGTGGAGCAGGGAGTTGGACTCGATGATCCTTGTGGGTCCATTCCAACTTGAGATATTCTATGTCAGGGGCTAGCTAGAGGTAATGGAAGATGTGTAAGGATAGATAGTCCTGTAAAGTATTTGGAGGATTCAGTGGGTAGGTTGACTTAAGTGAGCTTTGACCCCTTAAGGAAAGGTGGCTCCCTGAAAGGGGGCCAAAACAGAATCGAGTCTCTCCTTTGTTCAGTAAGACTTCTGGTAGCCTGTCTAAAGCAAGTAAAATTTAGAAAAGCATAAAAAGTGTATGAATGTGGCACACTTCCTCAGTGTCTTGCTTTTGATTTCCATTGCACTTATGAAAGTGCTGTTCACAATAAGAAAAACATTGCGTTTAAGCAACAGTCCACAGGCTATGAATAGCTGTGCTGTACTAAAAGGAATAATTTATGTCCGAGAAACACAGTTGGATTTTGCCTCTAATTTGTGTAGTTTTAATTTACCTTGTGCTTATTTTCTTGGGGGGGAGGAGGGATACAAGGAATGGGGTAGTAAATTGATACTGTAACAGCATTTCTCAGTAGTTACTTTTGATAGTAAAGATCTTGTGCAAGATCTGCAAAATGTATGGATGATTACTGTCTGTCACTATAATTTATAAACATTCAAATACTATATTTTTCAAATGTATGCTTATATTTCCTATGGCAAATCTGGTAGTGCTGATAGGGAATGTTGGTATTTGAGTCTTTGCAATGCAACAGTAAGGTTTCATACAGTGTTAAAATGCTAGACTGGAAGAAGCTGCTTTTTTTTTTTTTTTTTTTTGAGCTGGCAGCAATATTAAATAGTTCTCAGTTTTTTTTCTCCTAACTCACAATACCACAAACTGTATTTGATTTATTTTTCTGAAGCTTGAAGAGTTTCAAAATTGCTTTGTACAGACAATAAGTTATAAATGTCAGGTAGGTCTGTTTTAAAAACAGTAGGTCTTGTTTAAAAAACAAATTCTAGAGCTACTCTGACTTTTTTTATTATCTACTTATTTTAACGTGCAGCTCTGTGGGAAAAGGAAAACTGAAGTATATGGCTAAAGTTATCTGGCTTCTAACAGTCAGCTGTGCATATATAAATTCTAATCACTCGTTATAGATGTCATACAGAAAAATTGGGAGGATGGGGGAAATCTTGAAGTCAGTGTTCAGATCTACTGAATATGTGCTATGTTCATGCATTGTGATTCAATTAATAATCTATGGGATGTTACCAAATTCATAAAAACTGTCTATTGAATGAGCAGTTCTTTCTGCAGACGAAAAAAAGGAACTTGTGCAGGCTTTCTTTTTAGTAAAGTATATATTCAGCTAAGAGTGCAGTAGTAATCAACCTTTAGATTATACTTCCCTTCTTCTTTCTGTATCTTGTGGATGCTGACTATGTAAAGAAGTATTCCATAATTATATGCATTTGCAGGAATGTGCTTAGATACCTGAGGATATGCTCACAATTCCATGTGCTCACCTCTTTTCCTACCAGCTTTGTGTGCAAGAGAAGGGCATACTATGCCTGTACAAATGCGCATGCAACAGGACTAAGGGAAGATAAAGTGGAATTGAATGCCTTTAAGGATTGGATGAACAGAGGTAGAAATCAGGATCTGTGAATATTAGACTTGGAGGATTACAATGCCCATCAGGGTAGGGATAGAAATTACTCTGTTTTGTGTGCTGCTCAGAGCAAAAACATCCAGATAGTTTCCAGGGGCTTGGATTTGCTGCTGTTCTTTGTTCTGCCTTTGTTGGGAAGCTGAGCCATCTTGAACAGTTTTGTGCAGGTAATCTTACTTCTAACATTTGAAAACAATAATGGCACCAGTGAGCAGAAAGGATATATGCTGGTCATAGAAAAATATATCCTGGAGATTTGTGCTCTTCAGTTTGAGAATTACTGGCCTCTAAGACTTTAAATTATGTTTGTGTTTCACTACAAGTAACAGTGTGTAGTTGTAGTTTTTAAGGAAGCTGAGAATGGTATGCTTCAATTAGAAATCCAAATTTTTCCTGTTTATACATCTTAGCTAATGCTAAGATGGTATCTTAGTCTATAGCATTAACACAGCATTAACCTTCTTCCCCCTCCCCTCCAAATTCAAGTTAATAAAACATTCTGGTCTGGACAAATATTTCTCCATTGCAAATCCGGGCAGGGATATGTTTCTTCTGTGAGAAAGTGACTTCAAACTCTGAATACTGCCAGTGATTATCTTAGCTGAGTTGTGTTCTCCCTTTGCCAAGGGAGATGCTGCCTATCAATTCTTTCTTGGTTAGCAGGATAGGACAGGAAAAAAAAAAAAGTAAATTGTATTTCTAAATTTATTTTTTTTTTTAGTATTTCAGTGCATTCACCTTTTCTCTGTCAACTTACATCTTTCACAACTGCAGTGGGAAATTGGTAGGAAAATAACATGTAAGACATAATGAGGAAAATGAATGGGCATAGGAGACTTTAGGTCTCAAGTGTCACCACCTTGATATCTAACATGAGAAATCAGGAGTCTTTCTTTTTTGGCTTCTTATCAAATTTCAAAGCTTGTCTTTTATTTTTGATTGTTAAACCAAACAAATTTTTCAGTGAATGGTAATAAATGTCAGACTAAATATCATTGCCTGCATCTTCAGTGGTTTTGTCTCCAGCTCTAACAGTTGCCATGGAGAGGACTTTGTCTTTTTTCAGGTTTCTGAAAACAACAAGGAACAGATGAGATTAGACAATTAGTATTTCTCCTTCATCATTTAATGAAACTACTGTTAAAGAAAGTTTAACTCTTCCAGCTTCTACAAGTGTGTATATATGTATACTGTGTGTATATATGTATAACATGTATAGAGGGTTTTGTTGTTGTTGTTCTTGGTTTTAAGAGGCATATTTAAATGTGGGGTTTTTTTTTTTTTTTTCCCCCCCCCTTGAATAAACTACTTCACCCACATGGGAAAATCTATTCAAGAAAGAATTTCTTTTGAGTGTTTCTCTCTCTTATTTCTCTTCAGGAGAGGTCATATTAATTTGCTTTTTCTCCTAGTGCAGCTGTGACAGCAAGGCACATGCCAGGGCAGGTTAGGTTGGATATCAGGACAAACTTCTTCAGTGAAAGGGTAGTCAGGCACTGGAACAGGCTGCCCAGGGAAGTGGTTGAGTCCCCATCCCTGGAGGTATTTAAAAGACGGATAGACCTGGTGCTTAGGGACATGGTTTAGTGGTGGACTTGGCAGTGCTAGGTTAACGGTTGGACTTGATGATCTTAAAGGTCTTTTCCAACCTAAACGATTCTATGATTCTTTGAAATAAAAAGATCTATTCCAGAAAAACCATTTGGGGTAGGGACAAAAAGGGATGCTGTAGAGAGGTTGGTTAAATTTCAGGATATAAGTATCTTATTGTAATCTGTTAGTGAGGATCAAAAACCATGGATCTGTGAAGTAAAGTCTCTCTAAAAACAGTCAACTTGTACCACCCACATTTGGCCAGGGGAACTGTCATGATATTATTCAGTGATGGCTGGAGGTTATCACAGTCCTCGCAATACAAGTCTGACTAATTAGCGTTAAAGTTACACCCTTAAGAAGACAGAATTGCCAGCCATCTGTCTTGCTGCGAATGTCTTGTCAATCCTATCTAGTCTGTAAGTCAGTCAGGTTTCTGAAAACATACCTAAATCCCTAAATCTCTTCCATACCTAAATCCCTAAGCCACCAATAGCACTTGGACAGGCAACCAACACCCCATGGACAGACAGGTATGACAAAATATGTGCCAAGTCATAGGTTGCAAGGGACCTCTGGAGGTCATCTTTTTCAATCCCCCCTATTCAAAGTTGGTCACTAAGTCACATTGCTCAGCATCTTGTCCTGGTGAGTTTTGAATATATCCAGGGATAGATATCCTGTGATTTCACTGGGCAACCTGTCCCAGTGCTTGGCAGTTCTTGCAGTGAATTTTTCCCCCCTAATATCTAATTAGTTTGCTGTGTTCCAACAAATAATGTGCTGTGTAATAAAAGCAGCAGTATCTTTTCCCAGCAATCCCATGTGTATGCTGATCAATAAGGGAATCAAAATGTATGTTTCATTTCTTATACATAGTAAATTATATATTAATTAGGGCAGAATTCTACAGCATTAGCCTGATATGTGGATAAGCCAGACTTCGCTTCAGTAAGTATGAGATTAGGAAATGAAAGAATTCTTACAGGGTGACTGTGACATTCTTCTCAGGTAAGAAACACTGATCAAGCCTTGTTTTAAAATTTTCGTTATGCCTGATGTG